TCTCAAATTCGACGTAGAGTAGTAACCAGACGAAAGGCCGTGGCCGTGGCCCTCTAGACAAGGGGGTTTGTCTTCTTTTTGAAATCTTATGATTTTAAATTTGCGAAACTCGCTAACTGTATAAAGTATAAATATTTTATGTAAAATGGGAACTCGTTTGCGGGCTCTCCAGAAGTGAGTGTAACAATATGGAGGTAAATATTTGTGATCGCCTACTTTACATCAAGTTGTGTGAAGAGACTAAAATCTATGGGTAGGGGGTATATTAATTTGACTAGGGCAGACAGTCCCCGTACTCGTACTAAAACTAAAATAGGGAAAAGCGGAATACAATTTTAAAAATAAAAATTAAAAACCCTAACCTGATACACACACTACGGGAGAATCGTTTTACATACTTCCCACTAGAGAAACCCAGACAAGTTACAATATAGATGCTGCACGGGATGTGCACATCTCGCATCTAAAAAAGCAGTTACTAATTAAGCAATTCAACTACACAAGCAAAGCTATAAATCTCTCGCTATCTACCCGTTTGTTTTGACACGGTTTTCACCCAAAATCGCGTACAAATATCATCCTCGTAAAGTGAAACTTGTGGCAAATATAAACTGACCCATGCCATAGAATCGAGTCTATCTTTTCATGCAACATAACATGTACAAATTTACTCCTAATAATATTGAATTGCATCATTCAGTCATAAATAATATTTTTACTTTGATGTCAGAGGGCTATCAGAGACCATTTTATAATTTGGCACTCTACTCTTGTTTGCAAACAATTTCTTCTGATCAAAAATGCATTTATATGAAATTTTAAACATTCTAACGTAACTATCATTATACAGGGTGTCCATAAAGTCCTTTCACAATTTCAATTTGTTATGAAGTCAGTTCTCAACATATCTTGACCAGGTTTGTTGTTTTCAAATCAGTAATTGTTTAAGTATTTTTACTTCATTTAATACATCTGAGAGGGCCAAAACAATATATGGTATCGAAAAATTCCCCTTAAAATTTTAAAAAATTTTGAGAATTTATGGACACCCCATATATCGAAAAACGATCACCGAAATTGTTTTGTGTTTTTATAGTACTGGCGTGAGTGATCGTATAAAGACAGTTAGGTCACATGTGAAATAGTTGAATCCAATAAGTAACACAGTAACAGTAAGTAATATGCAATGGCGCACTTCGTCAATATTAGTCGAGAATATTAGACAAGAAAACGATACGACAGTATTGGCATTTGCTTGTATAACAACTATTGCCATTATATTGATCCCTGGTAAATATTCTTCAACACGGTTATCACCAAAAATCGCGTCGAGATATCACCCCCGTATAGTGAAACTTGTGGCAAAGAGAAACTTACCTATGTCATATAATTGAATCTACCTTTTTACGCAATATCACACGTAAAAATAATATTTCCTCAGAGAGCTATCAGAGTCCCTTTTATAACTATAGCGCCAGTCGCTTAGCATGGCTACTCTTGAATGACGTTAATATTTTGATATATAGGTTTGATCTAACAAAACATGAATAGAAAAAAAACAAATGGCGACCAGATAATAATAAGGAAGATGCAACAATGCTTATATTGGGTCTACTCGGTTATTTTCATCAAAACGGTTGACAAAACTTGAAAATTACTGGTGTCCTGTCATTCCAGGAAGTATATTTTATTATGCAAACAGTTTTTCAAATGCATCATCAAATGTCAAAATTGCAAATGTCGCTCATCGGTATCAACTACGAAATAAAAACAATGTCAATACTTCCAAAACAAGCAGCAAATGCGGTCCGAATTGAATACCGCTAGGTGTGTATTTCTGGCTTGTATAACAACCCTAGCCACCTTTATTGATTTCATTTATCCAAGAATATAAAATTTTTTGTAGCGAGGGACGGGAATATTATTGGCCGCCCTGGACAGTATAAACTAGGCGCCCACACCGCTGTACACCATCATATTAGAATACAGGTTAAGTTTGATTATATAGACTTCAGTCTATAGTTAAACAATTGGTTGGCACTATTACAGTCAATTTCAGCTATTTTCATTTGAAGAAAATTGACCATTTTTACTGGATATCCATGCGCCGAAACGAAAGTAATTATCACTGTAGCGCCAACAAAATATTTCTCGTCAACAACAGTAATTGATTCTAATTTTGTTCATGTTTTGCAATTTCAAACCAAGCATTTGTGCTATTGTGACGTATTCTTTTAATAGACAATAAAACCATTATCTGCTCATATAATTGTCGCAAGATTACTTTGCGTATTTCTCACATATGGAGTTTAACCTAACCCATATAAGTTCGAATAATATTTATTTGTCTTTTGTATCTCTTGCAAAAAATTCAAAACTTAACACAGCAAAAAACACAACAATGAAAGATAGCAATAGGTATTTTGTCTTTTGCACGTGTAATGGGTGGTCGGAAACCAGACCCGGTTAAAACTGCCTAAATCAAAGGTCTGGTGAACAGCATACAGAGAAAAACGAAAATACAATAATACAATACAAACACGGACATTATTGTTCGTGACAAATAAACTCATTTTTCCCTCATACTAAAATACACTTTATGATTAAGCAATACAAAACGTAGTGAAATAGTACTTAAGGGTGAAGGTAGGCGCGGGACACCATTGCTGGTTATCGAGCAGCGACACTCGCGATTTGAATCCAACAGTAATAGATAAAGCAAACAATGATTATTAAAAGATATTTACGTCTAAGTACGTCGCGGCGACCTGGGTACGAAAGTTTGGATACATTGTCACCAGTTGCAAATGTTCTTATTTTTTTAGGCCTACACGATGCACCCAATAATTATGCTGCTTGATACAGGCATTCATTTTCATTTGTTGCCTAATGAGATTGATGCCTAATGGGCAGGAAAAGCAGACACGGATAGTTCAGATAAGTTTAAGACATACCCGATTTTAGAACCAAAAATCATAGAGTATCAATCAATTGTCCAAAAACGGCGTGACTTTCATTGACGAATTCCATTTTGACGTTTCGGTTAAGTGATTTTTATTGAATGCCTGTTATATCTGTGACGATGTCACAATTTGCAAACGCTCTTAGTTTGGTCGTATACAGGGTTACCATTCACCTTGAGCCAAAAATGAGCACGGGTATGAAAATGATATGTCGGGGGTACTTAACAACGGCGGAAACGCAGAATAAAAATGAGAAAGGAATCATACATCTTTTCATACCCTTCTAGTCTCTTTCGCACTAATTTTTATCCATTCAATTTTTTTTATTGGAAGTCGCTTCGAACAAGGTTGCATGCAGCCCCGTGATCGCAAAAGGCACGAAATCATAGGAGTCGTGGTCTCGCAGGTAACGGATCAGAAGTCGAAAATACGCACCCAAACTCTAGAGCTAAAGTATCTGATAACCAAAGAAAAAAGTTTCACTTTGTTTTGGTTGGGGGCATCAGTGGATATTGAAAAGGGCTAATCTCCGAGTTCTGACAGCATTTTTTTTGAGCATATGGAGCAAGAACTCCTGTGACTATGGTTGTAGACTGTAGGCGAAACTCGTGCTTACGCTTATTTAAATTATGGATTGTCCCTAAAAGCAAGCAACTAGCAGAAACTATTGTAACCGAGTCACAGTTTGTCTGGAAATACCGCAAACCCTACCGCTAACAGAAACGATCCGCGATGGAAGTGAGTGAGCGACATAGCGACATTAGGTCATGGTAGAACGTGGATGAGTGATACTTCATAATAAGTATCAAAGCGTGGATGCGCATTGAGTATAATAAAAAAACATGGTCCCTCGTTTCCACGGAAGCTTTGTACGCAAAGCATCCATTTTTCTAAGACAAAATAAGCACGAAACTCAAAAATAAGCACTTTTCTTGGAAATAAGCACACAGTTACTTTATTAGACGAGGGCTAGAAAATAAGCACAAATCTTCGAAATAAGCATGGTATGACAACCCTGCGTATATACAATGACAGCCTCCAACATCATATTTTTGCTATGGCTTCAATTTTTGAAAATTATTCTTTTCTCCAATACTTTCTGATACATACAAATCTCTAATAGCCAGTCATTTCCCCAACCGTCTCGTCCTAGAAATTTTGACATTGTGGGTCAATTGATATCTAATATGGCCTCATCAAAATTTGTTTCTTAGTCGTCTCATTCGCTTCTGTATTGCTTATGATTGTAAACAAGAAATATGGAAAAATTTATTTCGCGGCCCTTTAAGTAATTATAGAATTTGCTTACTAACTAATCGCGCGTAATAACTTAACGCGTAATGTAACTATTATGTTGAAGCCTTCGATCGCTCGTCATTTTCAAAATTTTAATATAGAATCACTCATCTCAAAAGAGCTTTTTAGCTTACCTGTTTTTCTTTTTCAAACGTCTCTCATATACTGTCTGTTTACTGAATCTCAAAGATAAGCAAGTTAATAGCATCGATAAGGATAACATAATCTCTTTCAACGAAAGACTTGCTTCTTCGTGAAAAAAGATTATGTTATTCTTATTTATCTTTATAATACTATCACGTTCAAGCATCCTTGTGGCAACTGACACATACGAATCCGAAGTAGGAAGTTAACATGGAGAAAGGACTTGTAGTTCTTTACACAATACCCTAGTACAGGGTTTCTCAAACTTTTCGGGCATCGGACACCACTGTTTGTGAATCTAATTTTGACGGACCCCATCCTATGACGTATCAATTTTTGTGCCTAACCAACGAGGAAGAATAATGTTTCCATTGCCAAAATAAAACTAATGAAAGTCTGAACCAATACATACTAACTTTGAATACTGGCAGGTCAACAGCATGTTGATAAGATCATGATTTATTTGTATATGTTTCAGACTCCTATCATATCGTTGCGGACCCCCTGTACAGTCATCACAGATTCCCAGGGGTCTGCAGACCCAAGTTTAGGAAACCCTGCCCTAGTACACCCCATAATTGATAAAAATTCCTATAGTCGTTTTAATTTGCATTTATGACAGCATACTGATTAAGAGGTAGACAAAATATGATAAAATTGCAACTAAAACAACAAACAGTGCTCCGAATCGGATTCTCATTTGTCTACGAACAATTTGTCCAAATCCACAATCGTGTTCCCATGTACAATCCATAACGTCATGAACAAGTTTAGATTTGATATTTTTCCTGGGAAAAGGTTTCTCTGGAACTTGCATGTTAAGGAATTGACACAGCGGTTCCCATCCTTGCTTCACGTTATATATCAGTAGTTTACCATTTCCAAAGTGAGACTTAACATAAGCATTGTGCTGCCGATATCGAGATCTGTGAAATAATAAAACGGTTATTAACAATAAAATCCCACAAGCAAATATTTAGTGTTCACTAGTGACTCGAAATGTTAAATCACTTTCTTTATCTATCTGTAGGCTTTATACCATATCAGTAACGGAAAAAATTTGATACGTCCGAAGTACTAATTTTATTCCGATTTCCTTATTTTAGTTTTATTACGAGTCCGAAAACTGTCTGTGTTAGCCAAGTGAATATTTATCCTCCTGCCTATATGTTTCAGTCCATTTACACAACTTGATGTGAAATAGGCAAAAAGAATTAGTTTCATCCATATTGGTACACATACTTAAAGCGCGCAAAAAATTTTACGAGCACGCTCGCATACCGTCATCAATTTCCGAGCCGTTTCAATTATTTGGGTTTTAATTTCTGTCAGAGCAGAAAATTCGAGAAGCTACACTAATAGCAACATTATTTTCATGGCTTCAAATGCAAACTTGAATAGTATTTGCAAAAAGACCGTGTCACTGAAACCGCCAAAATGAATATTACGTATTGTTAGTTGTCGCGGAAATAACTAATTAAACTTTAGAAATTTAATACTATACTCATTACTATGTACAATTGTTTTATGTTACTTCGAAAAAATCTGCGTCACTCACACAGTTGGAAAACCACTGAATAAAATTAACAATTAACTACTAGGTAGGCCACATCGACACTGATAGAGAAAGCTAGATTACCTCAAAAAAGCTTCAGTTGGTCTTCCATATGGTTTTGGAACACCAAAACAAGCAGGCATAAAAGCATTCTCATATCGTCGAAATTCTCTCCTCATTGGTCCAGAAAACAAGAGTAAAATTTCCAACAGGGTTTCATTGATTCTAGGAACGTAAAAATAAAAAATAAATTGTAAATACTTTAAAATTGTTTATGGTTAAATATATAATTTACTAAACTATATAAATAGTAGGAGCGCCAATAATTAAGCGGACATTTAAAACTTTGATACGAAAAAAATCCAAATCTTTGGGTAATGACTTTGAAGTTTAATAATACGAATATAGAGATTTCTCATTGTTAATTATACCAACGACCTACGGCAGTGGTTTTTAATCTTTTCAGTGTTGCGGAACCCCGATGTAGCTTTAGGTTTTTGAATCGGGCGGCCAGATTGAATCATCCAACCATCCGGATTTGGCCCGCGGGCCATTCTTTGCCCATATCAGTTTTAGTGACTCAACGAACCCCTGTGTAATAATTCAATTGTTTTCTATTGTCTGAACTGTATATAACTATAAATACTTATGAATTTAAACAAAATACTGGCGAAATAAAATGATATTCACTGTGTAACGAGTTCAATAATAGTGGCAAGACTTGAGCAAACTACGGCCCGTGGGCCAAATCCGAATAGTTGGGTGATTCATTCTAGCCCGCCTGATGCCGCCATGACTTTCCGCATGCACTACTTAGTTGTTGTTATTGAAATATGTATGGTGCAATAGGCTTGTTAGATTATTCTCGTAGTCTGTTGTAAGTTGTATTTTAGGTTGGCACAGACTTTCATGTTTTGGGGATGTTAACAAAACTTGTCACACTTAACAAAATGTTAACAAAACTATGTCACACTTACCAGTCTAGGTGGGCAAAATTTATGGCCCCAGGTCCAGCCCTGGTATAGGCGGAACCCCGATCGAAAACAGCTGACCCAGGGTGGAAATGATTGAATCCGAGTTTTAGGTTACTTTGCGTTTCGAATTGATTTCAAAATCGCTTTTGGGGCCGCTATTCTAAAACTTAACAATTAATTTATCAAACCTGCCGGCTCAAAGAGTCTACATTTGGGGGACGTCATACAAAGGGCATTTAGGACTAACATTCTAGTGTATAAAAAAAAAACGCATTCACACAAGTTAGACTCTAAAATTGAATGTGTGTATTAAATGCACAACATACTCGATATATTTGTTGACGACGTAAAATTGGTGTTTCATGCTTTCATACCATTCGTCTTCGCTCGATCTCACTGTTAGAATCACCTATAGAAAGATCATTTTGTGACTATCAAAATATCTTAAACGTTCGAAACGTGTGACAAATGAGGTTGAACTCGTTTAGCGAAAAACTTGCAAATAAAAAGTCAAACTCGAATGCCAGTTCCATGTATATAATACTTCGCACAAAAGCAAAATTTTGGATCGTACACAAAAAGAGAGAGCGATGCTCAAATATATGGACACGTAAACCAAAGCAAAGCAGTAGTCTACCTTAACGGTACCGGTGAGTCAAAAATTTTCCGAATTTACGAAGCAAGAATTTTTAGAACCAAAACGGACAGCTAGTCATCACACGGAATAAAAACCTTGTTCTTATGAATAAAACTAATACAGCGAAATTTCGGATGAAATATCAGATTTCATAAAATCCATACGAAAAAAAATAAAAGTAGCGAAGAATTTAATCTATGAGCACTGAAAATTTCAAAGCAATTGGTCCAGTAATCGACAAGAAAAGCGACTTTTTCATATCGTGTCAAAGAACAAGAACAATAACATAATATTGAAATGATCCATAGGTCCACTAACGTGTCCAATAAAAAAATTAGAGCCCAGATAGATAATGTATGTAAAAGAATCACATTTACTTTTGCATCTGGAAAGGCCTGTACTATTTGTTCCCACACAGCTAACGCCGGCCAATCGGTAACCGCATCAACATTTTCTAATACTCTTTGGTAATCCGATATCGTAGCCGTGTTATCCAATACCTGAATATATAACATTTTACTATCACATTATGACATGTTTAGCATAATTCCGGGGGTGATTAAGAAATCACTAAAAATTGCTAAGATTTGGACAAGGATATTCGTGAAAAATGCCAACGTTGTTCTGCGCATTCATGACTTAAATTCAAATTCACAAACTTATTATCAATAAAATGATGCCGGACGTTCTGAAAACGTTGGGATTCTTAGCTTTCTTAGCATTCTTAGCTTTCGATCTTCATATATCGGTAATTTTGGGAAATACGTTTGTCATCACATTACTATGTGTTTGTTCGCATGTCGCGGGAAATCATCATGCTGGACTACGTTGTCGGTACAGATTGATTCACTTTATTGCTGGTCGACGGAGGCTCATCATACACAACCCGGACTGTGAACAGGAAGAGAGACTGAGGACTGTGACTGATTGTCCCGCCGCACCAGGTTTTCAAGTCAGAATATAGAATATGTTTTAGTTATCCCCTGGAAATAATTTATTCTCCTGTAAGTTTCCTTTGAAACCAGTGCCTCGTTGACCATTATTAAACCTACCTTGTCCCATAATTCCTTTTCATAGAAAAACTGCTCAAATATATCGTGAACATTATATCCGAGTATTCTTAGAGCTTCAGCTAATGATTTTGTTCCAGTTTTTTGAAGCCCAGCACATATTATTTTCATTCTTTTTAGATAAGATAGCCAGACAACTCGACAATAATATAATATCAATTATAACTTGTATAAAATAAAAAAACAAAAAAAACAAAAATACGTGAGATTTTGTGTCACAGTATTGGACTGCCTGATAAAAACTGTAGACACTGCTATCTCTTTCTTCCTAAAATTTTTATTGCGAAGATTTTTGATGCTCATTCGAATATTTTCGCGATGTGGTTCGTGGATTCCTTCGAACTGTTCGAACAATGAACCAAAATTTAATTAGTCTTTCGTTGATTTTTTCCAACATTGCTCTCGATAACGGCCACGAAAGGTATATGTGGCTACGTGAAAAGGATCAAATTTTTTACATTATACCCGAATTATACAATCAAATTAATAAATGTAACACCAAACAGCTAGAAGAGTCGATGTTTAACAGCAGTTCGTAAAGCTAACTCCCGATAGTAGTAGAATTACTTCTTTATTAACCATTGTTAAGCAATAGTCAGGGTCATAACAATAACAAATTATTGTGCCTATTGCAAGCTGGAATACGTTGGTCTGGTACAGTATATATGAGTACTTTGAAGCTTCACTTTCGCAAGTTCTATGACGTTTTGTTACGTAATTTTGAATGACGTAGTCAGATGGGAGTTTGGAATAACATATGCAATATTGGTTATTCCACGCCCACTACAAGTACCTGCGGTTTCCTCTCTACACTCGATTAAATAATCTGCTAAGGTGCCCTAACTGTACTGTACGTTGAAAAAAACAGTGAAATTATGTGATAAACCTATTCGCGGTAATCAGATATAGATTATCTGAGCATATTGCAACTTTCATTCAGCCAATCTCAACTACTAATCCACGCGATAGGCTAAACTGCTACTAGTCAAAATAATAACACTAACCTTGAAAATATGTCAGCGCATTCTCTCTCTCGTTACGCAAATTTGCACTTTGCTCGCTCCAGGGCAATTATTGAAATACAATACACCACACCCACAGCATGAAGGGTCGATCAAGCGTAACCGAAAAACCACAATCTGCGAGATGGAAAGGTAAACTCATGAAAGGTAAACTTTGACATTGTGCACACAATTTAATATTTGTAATAAGTTCTTATAATACCGGTGAAAACCTTATCAAGGATAAATTCAAATTTTATCACAGATAACGAAACATTTCGAAATAATAGGACTATCTTTAAAAGAAATCAAATTTTCACACAATTGACAAAATTCGAACAACGATAAATCGCAGGATGCCACCACAATTTTTTAAATACGATACGTATTTTCTTAGCCCTCTATTTAAAGGTAAACTCGAATTTTTGCCCTCTTTATCATAAAAGTTCAAAATAGTTCGAATGTCTCACCAACATTTTCACCAAATTGGAAAAATTCCGATCTCGAAAAATTCACAAAATCGCCAGATGTCACCACAGTTATTTAATTGCAATGAGCTTTTATATTTATATTCTTTTCAACAATAAATTCAAAGTCTTTTCCATTAAACCGGAAAAGTTCCAAATAATTCGATTATCGTTTAGGTAAAAACAATCTTAAACATATTTGAGAAAAGTGTTCGAATCTCAAACAGGACTGGATTAACGATTAGGCAAAATAAGCCCGAGCTCGGGCCACCAAGAGAAAGAAGACTTCACAGAAATTTCCGTAGTCAAATTTTCAATGGCGCCTCAGTGTTGAAATAATTCGGGTTGGCCAGACGAACCAGACCTTAATGTTGGCCGGGTTAAAATATGAATAATTTTTTGTTCTCACGTACTGAATTATCGTTCCAAACCTGTTTGTGGGCATGAGAACTGAAAATATCATGTAAATTAATCATAATTTGGTCTTAAATCTATGAATACTGAAACTGCTTATTTAATTTCCGATAATAGAGTACACTAGTTTCATTATTGGACACGTTTAGTGGCCATAACGATCGTTTCAATATTATGTTGTTGTTGTTGTTTTTGTTCTTGTTCTTGTTCTTTGACACGTTTTTAAAAAATCGCTTATCTCCTCGAATACTGGACCAATTGCTTTGAAATTTTCAGTGGTTAAAGATTAATTTCTTCGCTAGAAGGCTATTACTTTTATTTATTTTTCAAAATTTTGCGTGAATTCTATGAAATTTGATATTTCGTCTAAAATTTTGTTGTATTATTTTTTATCCATGGGAACACGGATTTTAGTCAGTGTCATGACTGGCTGTACGTTTTGATTCTGCAAAATTCTTGCTACTGGAAATTCAAAACTTTTTTGAGGGTACCGGTAGCGTCAAAGGTACCGGTAAAGACTGATTCGCTCTGGTCTAACGTGTCCATATATTTGTGCGTAGCTCTCTTGTTATGTATATTATTATTGTATCTCATCGATAGGGCACCAAGATCTTAAGTGATCAGGTCTTCTAGAAGTGTAAAAAGCATGATCCGGCCCTGGCCACGGCATTTTCCACTACTACAGTTCTAAAAACTGGTATGTAAGAAAAACTAATATCATAGCATGTGATGATTTTTGGTATTTGAATATTTTTGCAACATTCTGGTCACAATATATGAGTCACAACGAAACAGTACTAAAATTAGTCAATTCATGCAGAACATAAAAGACAATAAATTATAGAAATTTGAAGTCACAACGGTTCAGTACTATAATTAGTCATTTCATGCAGAATATGGAATGCACCAAAGCACAGAAATAAAGTCGCAACGGTACAAATCTACAATAAGGCAGTTGAAGAGGAATAGAAAATTCTATGAAACTAATAAAATAAAAACTGGTCAGTATACCATAACATCGTTATGGTAAAATGACAACAATGGTAGACAGATAGCATAGTTGTATTTTGACATACGCTGCCTGAGATTTTGTGAAAATTTTGTTGTTCGAAAAACCATAACTGTACCTCCACAGATATCTGTGGGTTCATAATTGAGTTAGTACAATAACTATATACTATACAAAGTAACTATATATCGTATGATGTGTTAGACCTTCGTCTAACCGGGGCCCGGACGCACAAGCCTCATGAGGAAGATATTCATCGTGTTTTCGACTTCAACCTATTCGTAAGCATTATAGCAATTTTTATTTACCGCATGCACACTGGATGAAGTAGTATGCTTGAAGTTACCAAATTTCTCCACCGTGCAATGCCGAAATAGTTACATAAACGTGCTTACCACACGACCACTGGACCAAAAATGAAGGTATTCCCGTAGTGTGTGTACCAGGTTAGGGTTAGGCCATAATTTTAGTTCAATTACGAGTTCGGGACTGTCTGTTTTAGCCTAGTGAATATCCTCCTGCCCATAGGTTTCAGTCCCTTTACACAACTTGATGTAAAGTAGGCGAACGAAATTAGTTACCTCTATATTGGCACACATACTTCTTGCGGGCCAAAATGAACTTATTTTACAACGAAGATGGATTTGTAGAATTACTTCAAAACGATAAATTTTACATAAATAAGTTCAGATATTCTTGAAAATAATTTTTTTTAAATAACATACAAATCGAATTTTGCAGAAAGTGTTATTTTGGGCATTTCACTATAGTCACAATTGATAAAATTACAATTTTATTTTAGTTTAAACTTTTTCGTATCACAAATCCTCAGTGAAATAGAATGACATCAGTTTAACGTTTTAGTTTGTCATAAATGATCCATAATATGACGAATAATGATTAAAATGACGGTTAATTAGAGTTCATCATGTTTACTTTTCTATCGAATGGTTATTATTACAAAATATGATTTGAATTCTGCGAGTCTGTCTCATGAAGGGTAGCCGTGCCACGATGCTTTGTCGAGGAAGCGAAATGCCAGTACACAAAATAATGTTTACTCAAAAAGAGATTGAATTGTCAAACGCTGCTAACCGATTCAATTATATAAAAAGTATAACAAGTTAAAACTTTTAGGAATTGAATTCACCGGTTGACATACATTCTTAACAAGACTGAATACATGCGTAAAGGTTGAAGGGGCTTCATGTAATATAGGACTGAATATTAGAGCAAATATTTGATGTGATGTGATATACTCAACACAGTCTAGGAGAGTTGAGACGATTGCAAAATTCTAACAGATTTTCATGAGTTCGAAATGAGAAAGATTTAGGGGGCTGATAAAGTCTCATTACAATTTTAATTTTGTCATGAATTTTGCTATTCTAATCAGAGTTTATTTATTTATTTTATATTTCAATATTCGTACAATTTGTATTTAACTATCTTAACATACTTTGGCTTGACGTACTGTTTGTTAATTGTAATCTCAATTTAATTTCATCAAGTTGACAGATATTAGGAATACAAAAAAAAATTAAAAAAAAATGAAGATACATGAATTGTTTTCAAGTATTTTGCTCATAATTGTCTTGCCTGGAGCATATACTCACGATTCGGCAATACAAAATGGAGAGTGCGAAGGTAAACTGTCTCTATATCAATTTCCAATAAGGATTTTAATTACTAGATACCTAGCTCAGGGGTATGCAACCTGCGACACGTGGGCCAATTACGGCCGACAAAAAAATTTGTGGGGTTCGCGAGGACGTACCAATTTTGAATTTTAATTTAGTTTAATCGGTGACCGTACATTTGAACCCATGTACATTTGAACCCATGCGTATATACACGGGTTCAATCTATATGCGGGTGCTAAAACCCATGGGTTAGGGTTAGTATGGGTTTAACTATCCGTGAAACAAAAAAAAATTCCATAGGTGCAATCGCATACAGGTGCAATTGTCATGGGTTCAAATGTAATGGAACCAGTTTAATCTGGTACGTGCGAGTAATCCCAATCCCATTGTGTTGCAAATCCCATAACCGAGTTCAATTTTGATGACGTTGCAATGCGTTACAAAACAAAGGAGAACAACGCATATCATAAGATCAATAACCAAACGTTTTGTGCCTGCAACTAATTGAAGGCCTATGATAAATAAAGGTGCGGCCCGCGGTTTCTACCAGTTATTTTAATGCGCCCTCCTGTAATGAAGGTTGAACACCCCTGATCTAGCTTATATATTTTACACGACGGCTATTCACGTATTTGTTTCCGCACAAGGCCCTGTAGAAGCGACCACGTATAGTTCGCTTTGCTAAATTCTTGTGTTGTTGTCATTGGGGTAACTATTGATGTCGTTTTTATTTTAAACAAAGCGACCAATTGATATTAACTTTAACAGTATTTACTAGTTCAAGCAGGTACAAGACCTAATTTTTTCAAGTTAGGTTCAAATTCACGGGTTCTATAGGATCGATACGTAAAAAATTTCGGTTTTATTTTAATGAGGAGATTATTCTTTATTAAATACGGTGACACACTTGTTCGCCTCCGTTACGTTTACACAAACTCAAATCTTTTAGGCGATCTTGGCGTTGTTATCAGCTAAGGCCATACCCCGCCCTGCAAATGAGTGCAAGCACTATACCAATATTTTTCTAGTATTCCTCTTGTTTACGAACGCAGGATGTATGTTAAAAGGATTTTCATGCTGCTACCATCCTTGATTTTCTCTTTCGCTTTTCCTTAATTCCATCGTTGTTTGAAGATTCCTTGTTTATTGTTCAAATTTTTTTTCAGACGCATCAGTTACCATTTCCGCACCATCAGACGAAAATTGTGATGAGAATGACATCAATTGTAAAGAATTTTACTTTGATGCCGTAAGTTACTATATTTAACATATTTTATGCGACACACACGAACTCTGCTTGATTAGGAGGTTAATTAAGTGTTAGCAATTAGGTTTGAAACGTTTCAAATATGAGCGAATCTGAAGTGGCTGTTAAATTAGTTACTGAATCGGTACCGATATAAATTTTTAGTCTCGAAAAAAAATACGAAATAACCCGTCTGTTTAATGTAAGGGACCTCGGGACACGAAACAGGGAGAACCACAAGCCAGAAAAGCGTCTTTAAATTGCCAATATGATTATGATAAATCGCGAATTGCGTGATGGCATGGATTTCCAAATTGGAAGTCTTCGTCCGCAAAAGGTTGTATGTTGTGATGAATATGAACTGTAATAGATTTTTGATTTAATGATGCCTGTCGGGAGACAAATTTCAGATTTAGATCGGTTTGGAATGCGAAATTGCCGTCCCTGGCCATACTTCATGAACTTATTTTTATGCAACTTTTTTTGAAATGTACTCTTTCACAATCCGCAAAAGTAATGGCAATTTTCTACTGTCTAACGACATGAGTGCGACTGAAAACAATCGAAAACACGAATACACGATGGTGTGAATACCAGTTGACGCGACAACTATTACGTCAAATTATGCATCATATGACGCAATCTTTCCGCCTAATCAACTTCATAGATATCCCAATGAACTCCTATTCAACATAGGCATTGTTATATCATTGCTGTGCATATGAATCAACAAATTCATTTTAGCTTCTATGAACAGCCACGTTACTGTTAAGTAAGAATGGGGTTTGACACTAATTACTACAATTTATTTATCGGCTGAACCTAGTTTAGCGAACATGAGTGATTTTTTGTTAGTTGGAGGGTTGACCTTTTGCCTTTTTATCCTTTAGTTCTTCAGTTACAAGCTTCCAAAGACATAAACTACACATTAACGATCAAAAATTAAATTTATTTAAAGGCACAGCAATTTATTTTCCGTGTACGTGCGCTGTGAGTTTTTTCCTTGAAATTTGGCGCCACACGAACAAAAACTTTAGGAACCGATGACCTGTAAAATTAATCTTTTTTCATTTATTCTGACAGGAAAATCTGGGAGGTGAGATTATATTTGTGTATTGGCAATATCGTTATCTGAAATGAAGCCTTGTGAGTATGAATTGTTAAGTCCAAAAAAGGGTACTCCGGTAGAATGTGTACCAGGTTAGGGTTAAGCCTTAATTTTATTCCAATTTTCCTTATTTTAGTTAGTTCTATTACGAGTTCGGGGACTGTTTGTGTTAGCCAAGTGAATATACCCCCTACCCACAGCTTTCCTCCCTTTACACAACTTGATGTAAAGTAGGCGAATAAAATTAGTTACCACCATATAGGTGAACATATTTCTGGAGCGCCCAAAAATGGATCTTGTTTCACTGAAAATTATGTTGTTTGTGGTGGCCTTCCCCCCTTTCCCGTTGAGTAATGTCATTTAAAAACACCTCGCATAAACATATTTGCAATTCAGTTCATGTTATTTAAATGGAGAGTTGTTAATATACAAGCAGTGTACCCATGGTTCGATCGCTAATTCTAATCGCTTTTTGTTTTTGCTGTAAAATAATATGTTTTCTTTACAAACAGAAAATTTAACTTCAAATTTGCAGTACGTTGAGGTGAAGTCCGCAGAATATATTTTTTTAAATTTTTACTAGTCCAATATTTCATGTTTTGCTGTTTTATTTGGATTGGTGAGAACAACCCTATTTGACTACCGTGTCGATAAATTCAAGCATTGCTCATCTGATTTTAATTTCATTCCAGCTACTGGCTTTTATTACTCAACGGGTATTTTATTACTCAAAATAGAGTTATTTCCTTGTTTTCGCGATTATCAAGCAAACAAATTTGCGTTGTGGAATATATTCACTGCTCGTGTTGTGTGCAACTCTTTATTTTATTATCCTGATTCATACAACGCAGCAATTAGGTCATATTTACTTGTTAGATCATTTGCCTTTTATTTAAAATATATTTCACAGTTGTGTTCTATTATCTTTTTCTGTATGGTTTTATAATTTGTCTAAACATACCTAAATTTTACATTTGCTTGAATGAAATTGAGTTTTGTCCTGCAATTTTTCCAAAATATGAAGGTTTAATATATGTATAGGAATATCCACAAATGTTTAAAGAAGAATTGGCTTTGCGGTCACATCAGCGAAAATACCGGAGCGTGTTTTGACGGCATTTTTAAATACAATTCTACATCCCTAACAGTCGGTTTACCCGTTGCACTTCATCGTCAATTTCAGCATTTTTCGTAATATATATGTATCAAATGTGACATTTTCTGCCTTTTGCAGTTTTGCTTAAATTTCTGGTTTCGGTGGCAGATTTTACATCTTTATGATAACTAATATATTTGATTTAAATTGGTTTATATTTTTCAGACCTCGAACGAGAAGTCTCAGCATACGTTGAAAGTCAGTTAATCAATGATGTAAATGGCGTCACCACTGAAGCAACGGATAATTCTATCGCTAAAACACCGGCGATACCGACATCTACATCTATTGTTACCACTGAATCATACTACAACAAAAGTATGTTAGGAATGCCTATAGTTTACTGGGTATACGCCCGTAGTATGTGAACGGAGATGGCGGACACCGGAACGTAGTATGTGTACCAGGTTAAGGTATAAATATTACATGAGTCACTTGGGTAGTCCCTGAACTCGTAATAGAACTTAAACAAGGAAAATGGGAAAAAATTATTGTCTCACCCTAACCTGGTACACAAACTACGTTCCGGTGTCCGCCATTTTGGTTCGCATACTACAGAAGTACCGTTTACTGGCCCGTTCGCCAATAGAAATCTTTAAAATGAATGATTTATCTGACTCAGCGTAGTTCCAACTCTATGTAGTGCATACCCGGTCATTTACAAAGTACTGTCCATCGAAGCCCGATTGTCGTTTTGATAGTACAATGAAACTTGAGTTCTATTGGCACAATACACGATTCCATTCATTTCTTTTAAACATGATTTTAATTTCATTCGGCGCTCCAGAAGTATGTGTAATGTATTTAGATGTGTACAGAAGTATTTTTTTCGCCTATTTACATCAAGTTGTGTAATGGGACTGAAACCTATGGACAGGGAGTGTATTCACTTAGCTAACACAGACAGTCCCGAATTCGTAAACTAAGATAAGGAAAATCGGAATAAATTTATGGTCTTAACCAAACCTGGTACACACATACCACGGGAGTACCCTAAATATAGCTGAAATAAAACAGTAGCTGATATAGCGAGTAAAATAGAATTGTTTGTTTTCTTTAATTCTTCATGCTATTGAAAATTAATTATTGTCATTCGTTTCAGAATGTCCCCAGTATACATTTGGTTTTCCTAACAGACGTCGGATACAAGATTACGTCATCGTAAACGCATCAATCCCGGATATGACTGAAGCCACTGTCTGTGCTTGGGTATCTCCGATACATGGCCAACATGTAGATGGCACCGTGTTCAGCTATGCAACAACTAGTCATCATAACACTTTACTTATCGAATTTGAGCCAAAACTGAGGTTTATTTTATATCCAAACAAATTAACTTTCGATAAAATTGAAAACAAAACGAAAGCCATATCTGTGTTGTTGTTTCCACAATGAATAACTCTGTTCATCTATATATCAACGGAACCAAACATTCATCTAAAACATTGCCCCATTCACTCAAATCAAAGGTCAAGGAACTGTGGTACTTGGGCAAGATCAGGATGAAAAACTGGGTGGATTTCAAGCCAAAGATTCTTTTCGTGGTGTCATAAAGAATTGCATGCTCTGGAATCGCACTTTAACCCCCGGCGAAATTAAAGATATGCAAGATGAATGCAACTGTCCAAAAGATTACATCATGTCTGCCACAAAAAATGACCACATATATGGAAATGTGACTTCGGAATTCTCCGATACATGTTGAAATGGTTAAATACTAATAATAAGAAAAATTTTACTAAATAAAATTTGTGTGTAGACATTTAAAAAACATTTCAACCGTCCTCCGATAATCTGCTAGTCATGCAGAACAATATTTGGTTTATTAATATTTGAATAATTGATTGAATGTTTGTATTTTGATATATCTGTTAATTGCATAATAATTAATATAGATTTTGAGTGTGTTATCCTGGCCCTATTTTTTTTATAACGAATATTGTGATAATCTGATGAGCAGCCATTTGAGGTTTACTTATGCATTGTTTGTTCGTTCAGAATCAGATTTTTTTGTTAACAATTTAAGCTTTGCAATTCGATGCACAATTACAGCAGAATTGATTGTCGCACAAAATTTGTCGAATTAAAATACCGTTAATTTATTACATTTTCATAAACAATGTAGGTTAGTGACTCACACAATATAAGCGGAGAACTTAAAATGAAAATGAGATAGACAATTTGTATAAACTATGGAGGCGGACCATATGCTGCTTTAATTTAACCGGAACTTTCAAAAATTTGTATATGACGGTATTTAGAAAGAAGCCAGTACGCAGAATAATAGCTAAGATGTTGTTTTAGATGCAACATATGCAGTCGAGAAAAATAGCAAGCAGCAAGGAACCGGCGTTAGTGGGTCATGAATCAAAATTGAATAATCTAGTACTAGACTATGAATATGCTTTATTGTCTTTATAGTGAAGGTCGCCATTTGGTAACAAATACATTTGGTCCTCCCGGAGTATATGAACCAAGATGACTGAAATCGGAACGTAGTATGTGTCAGGGTTAGGGTTAGGCCATGGTTTTTTCCAATTTTCCCTATTTTAGATTTATTACGAGTTTGCGGACTTGCCGAGTGACTCCCGTAGTATTTTTACCTGAAATTATGGCCTAACCCTAACCTGGTAGACATACTACGTTCCGGTGTCCGCCATCTTACTTCGGGAGTACTATTAACTTTTGAACGAATAAATCAATTGATTTTGTTTTTATCTGAAAAAGTGTAACAGGCAAATATAACGGTAGTTTCGAGAATACGAGTGGTCATCACCCCGCACTTGCGGGTACAGAAAAATGCCTTTGATAGTTATATACAAACGCTATCGATATCAATTGTAATCCATTGCATTGGAATTTTTTTTTTTCATTTCCGTTATATCCTAAGAAATAACATTAAAAAGCTATATACAACTTTTGGTACTCGCCTATTATGTGTACCAGTTTAGGGTTAGGCCATATGTCTATTCTGATTTTCTTTATTTTAGTTCCATTATGAGTTCGGGACTGTCTGTGTTAGCCAAGAGAATAAACCCCTACCCACAGGATTCTGTCCCCTTAAACAACTTGATGTAAAGTAGGCAAACAAATATTTACACCTATATTGGTACACGTACTTGAACGTCCAATTCTTTTCTCATTTATTCATGCATCGTCCATGACTAAGATATAGAATTGAAGCAAAAAAAGCTAATGATTTGATGAGAACTATGCAATAGTATTTTAACAATGCTACATTTTTGTAATTTTAGCAAAGCACAATGATATGCCGTGATCACCAGGCTGACTGTTACAGCGATATTTGACCAAAGCTATTTTCTCTTCGACGTTACTTCCATAACGATATGAAAATAATTTGATGCGCCGTCGTAACTTTGGAATTGGAATGATGCACGAACTTATGCATTGAAATTTATATACCGTACGCAATACCATGAGTAGCAATTTTTGCATTTAATTTAGATAAGATCGCGTAATGATTAGTATTGCATATTCTTTAGCAATAGATTTTTGCCAAACTTGAAAAAAAAGGATAAAACAAACATTAATTGCAAAATGCACTTATTTATTCTGACGCTCCATAGATTACGAATTAGGATGGAAAAATACGTTATTGACATGTAGATACTTCTTATCAGTGATATTTTTTCTAATGTTTTCTTAAATTCTGAAGCGTCAAAGATCAAAAGGAGGTGCCTGTTATACTGACAAATTAAAGATGGAAGACTTGATAATGAGTCGGAGTGACCATTGATACTTCAATGTCTTATTAATAATTTAATGCGAGTAGTGATGCTTGTATTATATTTTTAGCTGAACTCTCATACATTAACGTAATGTAAAACATCAATTATAGATATTTAAAACTTTAAAATATTCTGTCACCAAAGCACCTGATACACATACTATGAAACTACCCGATAATCTGCTCCTCGTATAGAACAACATTTGGTCCAATAATATTTGAATAAATGATTGACTGTTTGTATTTTGATATATCTGTTAATGATGAAAACGAGATTGACTGTGTTAGCCTGGCCTTGTTTTTTCTCTCAGTGTTCATAACTGTATTTATGTATATAACATATATATAAGTATTGTTTATGGCTGTATGCTAACCAAAATAGGGATAGTCTGATGAGCAGCTTCAAGTTCCTATTAATAATAGGAACGAGTAGTGATGCTCGTGTTGTATGCAAACATTATTAGCTGAATGCCCATACATTAATGTAATGTAAACATCAATATTATAGATATTTATAACTTTAAAATGTCAGTCATCAAAGCACCGATTTTTGTCGTGCCAACGTAACAACATTTTATATGTTTGGATGGCTATTTGAGTAGCTTTATAGAAAAAAAATTCTTCATTTTTAGAGATTAATAAACGTTAATCTATATTCTATTTATCCGTCTTATTTAGTATATTTTGTTGTTCTATAACATAAGATTTTGTTAAAATGTGTTTATCACATTGAAATACTTACTTGTCAAAATTTGTTAACAATGCTCATTATCAAAGTAATTGTATTTCTTATTTTCATTGGTGGATCATTGGCAACGCAGCAAAATGGTAAGTTTCAAGGTTTGCTTGGGATGAACTATTTTGACATGCAGCTGCATATTCGTATAGCTATAGATACTGAATGAAACAATATTGTGACATTTTAACTAATTGCGTCCTACCAAGGAAATAATTAGAGCGCTATGAATCGTTTTGCATGTCTGAGAAAATTCAAATATTTTTGAAATCGATAAAGTCATTAATTATAATTATTACTTTGAAAACAATTGTATATAATAATTGTTTTATATTAAATGAAAATTGTATCACATCATTCACTATACTTTAAGATTTTTTATAAAAAAAAATAGATATACCAATTAAATGTAATAAAAACCATAAATACTAACTATAGCATATTCTTTATGTTTTATTTATTATATTTTAGCTCAGAAGAAAGCATTGCTTGAAATAATCTTTGTAGTTGATGGATCGGGATCATTTAGAGAAGAAAAACTTACAATAGTGAGGGAATAACTTGTAAACCAAACAGTGAAAATATATGAAGCGTTTGGAGACTCTGCACATGTTGATGTATTACAATTTTCAAACAAGGATAATCCTTGGAACGGGTAATATGAAATACACTATATTTAATATTATTTATATATCGGATAATATCACTTTCATATTTAATAATCTGGTGCAATTTAAACCTCATAAATTTACTGACTTGTTGAATAGTAAAAATGGTGACCAATTCAAAATACCAAAATAAATATTAATAGAAAATAAATTTCAATCAATGTTAACGTTCGCTTTGATTTTAATTTAGTTTGGTTAATTCTATGACAATTATTTCTAGGGTTTCGATTGAAGATTCAAATAAGTTTGTTATTCCATTTGTGCTGGGAGAATGCGTGAATAATGCATCCTGTTTCTCACCAAGAATTATGAACATGTCATACTTGAGTTCGGGAACTTATACTTACTATGCACTACGGAGAGTAATGGAGGTGAGATGGGTTGTGCAATAGAAGAATAAAACGTAGGACCAAACTCCAATGTTTCTTACATCAATTATTGGTGATGACGAATTTTATTGGTGCCGGAATTAGTGGGTATATAGTTGTGACAATGTCAATTTAAAGTATTAACATTGCTAGCAAAATATTATACCAATATCTTATTTTTTCTGACGCTTGCAAACATTTTACACAGGTTTTATTCAATTTCATTTTAGTCATTCGTTTATAGACAATATTTGAACCATCGTCTAGCGTTCTAATTTTTGTGACATAATTTTTTTTTTGGTATTTTAACCTTAATAGTACGCGTTGTTCTTGCCACCAAACCACACGTTATAAGTTTCACATCGAAAACATTGCACTATTCAACAAAAAAACGTTTTATCACTTAATTATATGCAGGTGGAATTTCCAAAATCTCGGAGTTTTTACATTTCCAAAAAAGCAGTGATTGTTGTTACTGATGGAGTAGCGGATGATGCTGCTTTCTTTCGTGGCTGGTATGTTACATAGTATGTTACATAGTTAAGTATGTTACACAGTTAAAATGATATAATATATTATTCATTTTATCGGTGAATAAATTCATTAAATGTGGATTGAACATCTTCCGCAAATTATTGACTTCCACATTCTAACTATTTGTTTTAACACAATCTTAGAAAATTGCAGCTGCATCTCTTTTAGCTCAATTTCGACTAATTAAGATTTAGTCTTGCCAGATTTGTGGATAGGATCAGCAAAATACATTTGTATCAGCGCATTTTGCTGTCATTTCCTTTCTAAGTCGGACACAAATTAATTGTGAAGAAGTTAAAAGTATCTAAAATAAGGAACCCAGACTATTTCATTCGTTGCTTTTTTTAGGCTGAGAAATATTAGTTCTTCTTATTGTTTGAATGGATCATCTACAATATTATATCTATTAACTTCGTAAATATCTTACCTGTTTAAAGTTTTCATTGAAAGGAACCTTATATGATTCAATATCATATATACATTTATCGCGGTTCTAATGAATTTTCCGCAAGGTGAATTAGAGCGTTGACTTCCACACAATTTCTCTGTTTGTGATAAGAGATAACGATAAAAATACTTTCGCAGTAAGTTGTACTAAAATTAAAAACATTTTTATTGGCTTTGTCATTGAGCTCAGCATACAACAAAACT